ATTTTTTTTTTTTTTTTTTTTTTTGTTGCTTAGATGGGTGGACGAGCTCAAAGCCCACCTGGTGTTAAGTGGTTACTGGAGCCCATAGACATCTACAACGTAAATGCGCCACCCACCTTGAGATATAAGTTCTAAGGTCTCAGTATAGTTACAACGACTGCCCCACCCTTCAAGCCGAAATACATTATTGCTTCACGGCAGAAATAGGCAGGGACGGTGGTACCTACACGTGCGGACTTACAAGAGGTCCTACCATCAGGTTCTTGTGAGTCCGCACGGGTAGGTACCACCGCCCTGCCTATTTCTGCCGTGAAGCAGTAATGCGTTTCGGTTTGAAGGGTGGGGCAGCGTTGTAACTATACTGAGACCTTAGAAACTTATATCTCAAGGTGGGTGGCGCATTTACGATTGTAGATGTCTATGGGCCAGAACCACTTAACACCAGGTGGGCTGTGAGCTCGTCCACCATCAAGACAACTAAAATAAAAAAAATCTATCACAGTATAGGCACTGTCGCATTGTTTTATAGCAATGACATTATTATCAGACATTTCCATTTTACCCTAGCGAATAATATAGATTTTACCAGGATGAACCATCATACTGGACAAATCAAACGTGGGTTACAATAAGAATCAGCCCGAAACTTTACAATCAATCAAATCGAAAACAAACATATTAAATTGTGGCGAGTGAGCAAGTCAACTCGCACATCTCAACGAAGCACAAAATCATACGATTTTACGTCACATCAGGTGATCCGAGTGCCGTGTGCAAAGACTGTTAAACCACGCCCCCTGCAACATGTCGCCGGCGCATCTTATTTGTCGAAGTGGTAAAGACACAAGATGGCCACGCTTTGATCTATTGTTCTTCAGGCGGAGGACATGTTGAAAGGGGCGGCAACTCCTGCGCAAATTATTATCGACTACAAGTTATAGTTATAGTTCTAGTTTTGGTTTTCACTATAAATACGATTGTGCCGTAATTTTAACACTAGTATACATACAGACCATCTGGAATACTTCACTGGTGACCTATCGACAATTCTATAAACACGCAACATGCAGTCCGAAGCTACCGACGATGTGCTACTGGGAGGAACCTACCGTGTAGGAGTGAAGACGCCTAAGTTCAACCCCGAAGACCCAGAACTGTGGTTTGCTCAGCTGGAAGGGCAGTTCACCTTGTCCAATATAAGCGCAGACGCCACGAAATTCTACTACGTGTTGTCGCAACTGGAACCGCAGCATGCAGCAGAAATCCGGGAGTTGATCGTGTCACCTCCAGCCTCCAACAAATATGAGACGATCAAAAATGAACTCATACGGAGATTATCAGCTTCGCAAGAAAAGAAGATTAAGCAATTGTTGATGCATGAGGAGATGGGAGATCGCAAACCTACACAGTTCCTTCGACACCTGCAGCTTTTGGCCGGAGAAAATGTTCCGAGTGACTTCATCCGCACCATCTGGGCAAGTCGCTTACCTACTCATCTGCAGACATGCATAGCAGCGCAGCAAACTAAGATGTCGCTAGAAGATTTAGCCGAACTTGCAGATCGTGTCAATGATGTCGTGCCAGTAACCATGCAAGTAGCAAGTCAAGTAGCCAGTTTGTCAACATCTGCTATCATACCAAGCACCATTGACGCGTTGACCCGTAAAGTGGAGGAACTCAGTCGAAAACTCGAGACTATGAGTATGGATCTACGCAGACGCCCACGGCCTCGCTTTAAAGAAAGTAGGAACTCAAGAAGTCGCTCACGTTCCCGTTCTCGTCCAAGCGATCATCCATACTGCTTCTTCCACTACCGCTTTGGAGAGCGAGCAAGAAGATGCNCGCCCACGGCCTCGCTTTAAAGAAAGTAGGAACTCAAGAAGTCGCTCACGTTCCCGTTCTCGTCCAAGCGATCATCCATACTGCTTCTTCCACTACCGCTTTGGAGAGCGAGCAAGAAGATGCACCCAGCCATGTACCTACCAGAAGGCGGGAAACTCCCAAGGCAGCCAATAGTGGCGGTTAACGACTGCCTTTCCTCAACGAGCCGCCTGTTCATAACGGACCGCAAAACGAAGGTGCAATATCTGGTAGATACGGGTTCAGACCTGTGCGTCTTTCCGCGATCCGCTGTTCGGGAGCCACGCATCAAAACTCAATACGAGCTATTCGCAGCCAATGGATCAATAATATCCACCTACGGTGACCTGCCTCTTACGCTGGACTTAGGACTACGACGTAGTTTCACTTGGCGTTTCGTCGTAGCAGATGTGACGAAGCCTATCATCGGTGTCGACTTCCTAGGTTACTATAGCCTACTAGTCGATTGCCGCAATCAACGCCTGATCGATGGCATTACAGCACTTACTGTTGCCGCACCAACAAAGAATTCAACAGAGGCAATTTCATCCGTTCGCACCACTACGGACAACTCAGTATACCATCAACTGCTGAGAGAGTATCCAGATGTCACCCGTCCTGCTGGTAGACAGTGCAATATCGTGCAGCATTCGACTGTTCACCACATTCGAACTACCGCAGGCCCGCCAGTTTCCAGTCGTCCTCGGCGCTTAGATCCGGAGCGTCTGAGAATTGCAAAAAAGGAATTTGATCAAATGCTGCAGGATGGAACAGCACGCAGATCCGACAGCCCGTGGTCCTCGCCTCTTCACTTAGTCCGCAAGAAAGACGATGGTTGGCGTCCATGTGGAGACTATAGGATGTTGAACGCACGCACGATACCTGATCAATATCCCGTGAGGCACTTGCAAGACTTCACGCAGCAACTCACAGGCAGCGCCATCTATTCAACAATTGACCTCGTCAAGGCCTACAACCAAATTCCGGTTTTTGAAGAGGACATACCGAAAACTGCAATAACAACGCCATTTGGCTTATACGAATTCCCATTCATGACGTTTGGTCTTCGTAACGCCGCTCAAACGTTCCAGCGTTTTATGGATGAAGTTCTGCGAGGATTGGATTTCTGCTACGCTTATCTTGATGATATTTTAGTCAGTAGCAGCAGCAGCCACCAACATCAAGACCACCTTAAACAGCTTTTCAAAAGACTGTCAGATTATGGAGTTCTGATAAACACCAACAAGTGTGTATTTGGCCAACCAGAGGTGCAGTTCCTGGGATACAAAGTTTCTGCAGCAGGCGTTAAGCCTCTAGAAAGTAAGGTCCAAGCCATCAAGGATTTTCCTACTCCTAGAACGGTCAAAGAATTGAGACGCTTTTTGGGCATGTTGAATTTTTATCACCGCTTCGTGCCAGCCGCAGCTTCCATTCAAGCGCCTCTCAACAGCTTACTTGCTGGTCCTAAAATCAAAGGATCTCATCCTATAACCTTGACAGCGGAACATTTAGAAGCTTTCGAAAACTGCAAAAGGAGTTTGTCGGAAGCCACACTATTAGTTCACCCAGATCCGAAGGCTGAGCTATCGATCCATACTGATGCGTCAGACACCGCCATTGGAGGTGTATTACAACAGCTGAACGGTCAAGAATGGCAACCTCTGGCTTTCTTTTCTAAAAAGCTGAGCCCTTCGCAGAAGAAGTATAGCCCATACGACCGTGAACTTTTAGCTATCTATGAGGCTATACGTTACTTCAGATTCATGGTGGAAGCACGAGTTTTTTCTGTCGTAACAGATCATAAGCCGCTAACCTTCGCCTTCGCAACCAATCGCAAAAACTGCTCTCCACGGCAATTTCGTTACCTTGATTATATCAACCAATTCACTACGGATATACGGTATATCAAGGGAGAGGAAAATGTGGTAGCAGACACTCTTTCGAGGATTGAAGAGCTTACCCTTCCGTTAGACTATGAGTCACTGGCCAAAGAGCAAGAAACAGACGCCGAACTCCACGACTTACTGAACAATGGATCTTCTCTGAAGCTGAAGAGACTCAAATTACCAGAGTCCACCACAGAAGTCTACTGCGACGTTACTGCGACACCACGACCTTTCATAACACAGTCATTTCGTAAGCAAGTTTTCTTAGCACTGCATAACCTGAGTCATCCAGGAGCGAAAGCTAGTGTCCAATTAATAACACAAAGATTTGTCTGGCCTGGAGTGAGGCGAGATTGTCGAAACTGGGCTAAGCAGTGTGAAGCTTGCCAAAGAAGTAAAGTGAGCCGCCATACCTCCGCTCCTTTACGTGCTTTCAAACCGCCATCAGCACGCTTTCGCCACATTCACCTCGACTTAATTGGACCACTGCCGGTATCCTGCAACTACCAGTACTGTCTCACCGTCATCGACCGCGCTACGCGTTGGCCTGAGGCATACCCACTGCAGAACATCACCGCAGAAACGTGCGCTTCCGCTCTCACCACTGGATGGATATCACGTTTTGGTTGTCCTGAGCACATCACTACAGACCGTGGAAGGCAATTTGACTCCCAAACCTTCAGGGATTTAGCCGCCCTCATAGGTGCTACGCATCACCTCACCATGGCGTACCATCCCGCAGCCAACGGTCTTGTTGAGCGACTTCACCGCCAGCTAAAAGCCGCAATTATGTGCCACGCAGATTCCAGCTGGACGGAGGCACTTCCGTGGGTATTGCTGGGAATACGCAGCGCGTGGAAAGAAGACCTAGGAGCATCCACAGCAGAACTTGTTTACGGTGAACCGCTCCGGTTGCCTGGACAGTTTTTCACGTCAACGTCAGGAGATGTTGCAGACATGGGCAACCTAGTCAGCAGGTTGCGCACGCATATGTCGAAGTTAACGCCGCAACCCACATCATGGCATACAAGCTCGAGCCGACCCTTTTATGTACCTAAAGACCTGAGAACAGCGACCCACATCTTTCTGCGCCAAGGTCCAGCACGAAGATCGCTGCAAGCTCCATACTTGGGCCCATACAAAGTGCTAAGTCGCGACGAAAAGACAGTGGACATCGAGGTTCAGGGAAAGACGCAGAAAGTCACAATTGACCGAGTCAAACCAGCTTATGTGGCACGAGAAGACCTCAACGCTAGTCAATCTAGAATCCAGAGTCCAAATCCGGTGACGCCCAAAGAACCATTCAGGAAGACTAGGAGTGGGAGGATAGTCCGATTCCCAATATACTATCGCCCGTAGTCACGGTCTCGCCGGGGGAGTAGTGTGGCGAGTGAGCAAGTCAACTCGCACATCTCAACGAAGCACCAAAATCATACGATTTTACGTCACATCAGGTGATCCGAGTGCCGTGTGCAAAGACTGTTAAACCACGCCCCTTGCAACATGTCGCCGGCGCATCTTATTTGTCGAAGTGGTAAAGACACAAGATGGCCACGCTTTGATCTATTGTTCTTCAGGCGGAGGACATGTTGAAAGGGGCGGCAACTCCTGCGCAAATTATTATCGACTACAAGTTATAGTTATAGTTCTAGTTTTGGTTTTCACTATAAATACGATTGTGCCGTAAATTTTAAACATAGTATAACTACAGACGCATCTGGAATAGCTGTCAGGGGGTTGGGGGTTGCCAGGATTCGGTAACACGGCCGTTCCTGATGGCGAGGCGTCCTCGACCGCTTCATCTCTCAGCAGAAGCATATCTCTTCCAGCCACGTCAGAGCTTGCATCAACAAGGTCACCCTCTGTAACGTAACAAAAAAAATTACACCCAGACCTTAATGCTCTAAAACTTTCTAAAATTTAGAATCCCCCCTACTACAGACGCAAGCGTGCTCTCCTTACATCTGCAGCGAGGAAGAGCCAAAGATAAACATTTGAAGTGAGAAGAATGGATATCGCACAACTGTCCCAAACTGCGCAATTTGAGACACCTGCACGATTCCTTTACTGAGTTAGCCCGTACAGGAAACGTCTAAAACAGTAGCGCGCTGTTGTCGGCAATATTCACCGATACAGATACTGAACATTACCGACACAACACAGCTAAACAGTAGGGACGCAAGATCCGGCCGAATCCGCATCTACCATACTGCTCAAAAAAATAAACGGGAAGTAAAGCACCCCGTCGTGCACACCTCCAACCTCAAAAATGGGAAGTAAAGCACCGTCGTGCCCACCTCAACCTCAAAAATGGGAAGTAAAGCACCGAAGTGCCCACCTCGACCTTCACATATTAATTTCGAAGAAAAGGCTGCATGTCACCGGGGTCCACTCGTAAGGATGATGTGGAAGCAGGGCAGCCGTCCCAGCTCCAGTCTGCTCCCACGATGCGAGGCTGCACCACGTGTGGCGGGCGTCCCGCTCGACCGTCCTGATAGATAATCCGTTGGGTAGTCCGCAGCAGCAGGCCGCAGACTAAGCGACATCGCCCTCTGCGTCACTGCCAGTCGTACAGCACCGTGCAGTCGGCGGCATGCGAGCAACACGTGCAGTATGCACGTCAGAAGTAGGTGAGCGCGCGCATGCAGCGGCACGAGCAGTGCGCGCAGCCAGCGGCACGCGAGCAGTGTGCGCAGCCAGCGGCACGCGAGCAGTGTGCGCAGCCAGCGGTACGCGAGCAGTGCGCGCAGCCAGCGGCACGTGTGCAGTGCGCGCAGCCAGCGGCACGCGAGCAGTGCGCGCAGTATGCGCGCCAGAAGTAGATGAGCGCGCGCAGCCAGCGGCACGCGAGTAGTGCGCGCAGCCAGCGGTACGCGAGCAGTGCGCGCAGTATGCACGCCAGAAGTAGATGAGCGCGCAGCCAGCGGTACGCGAGCAGTGCGCGCAGCCAGCGGCACGCGAGCAGTGCGCGCAGCCAGCGCTACGCAAGCAG